TATATGTATATAGATGGTGCTATGTAATTACCTGTAATAAATTAAAATACAGTAGCAACAAACCCCCCCCCCCCCCCTCCAATCACACACTATTATTGCTATTCATTTATATAGCTCTGATATATACTGCAGTGCTGTACTGAGAACACTAAGCCAGTCACATCAGTATCTGCAACAGAGGAACTTACACTCTAATATCGGGCAGCACAGTAGCTAAATGGTTAGCACTTCCACCTGGCAGTATTAGGGTCGCTGTTTCAAATCCCAACCACGGCACTTATCTCTCCACTACCGAGCGGGGGGAGATGAGCAGAGTTGGGGGTTACCACCGAGCGGGGGAGATGAGCAGAGTTGGGGGTTACCACCGAGCGGGGGAGATGAGCAGAGTTGCGGGTTACCACCGAGCGGGGGGAGATGAGCAGAGTTGGGGTTACCACCGAGCGGGGGAGATGAGCATGAGCTTACCACCGAGAGTTGAGCAGAGTTGGGTTTTTATCACCGAGCGGGGGAGATGAGCAGAGTTGGGTTTTTATCACCGAGCGGGGGAGATGAGCAGAGTTGGGTTTTTACCACCGAGCGGGGGAGATGAGCAGAGTTGGGTTTTTATCACCGAGCGGGGGAGATGAGCAGAGTTGGGTTTTTATCACCGAGCGGGGGAGATGAGCAGAGTTGGGTTTTTTATCACCGAGCGGGGGAGATGAGCAGAGTTGGGTTTTTATCACCGAGCGGGGGAGATGAGCAGAGTTGGGTTTTTACCACCGAGCGGGGGAGATGAGCAGAGTTGGGTTTTTACCACCGAGCGGGGGAGATGAGCAGAGTTGGGTTTTTACCACCGAGCGGGGGAGATGAGCAGAGTTGGGTTTTTACCACCGAGCGGGGGAGATGAGCAGAGTTGGGTTTTTACCACCGAGCGGGGGGAGATGAGCAGAGTTGGGGGTCACCACCGAGCGGGGGATCTGCTGAATGAGGGTACCGATGAGCTGGGGATCTGCTGAGTGGGGGTACTACTGAGCTGGGGTTCCACTGGGCCCCTTTAAAACAAAAAAATCAACAATAAATGGTTCTACCTGACAGTACTAGGGTCGTTAGTTCAAATCCCAACCATGGCACCACCTGCCTGGAGTTTGCATGTTCTCCCTGTGCCTGCATGGGTTTCCTCCCACACTCCAAAGACTGCTGGTAGGTTGAGTCCTGTCTAAATTGGCCCTAGTATGTGTATGTATGAATGTGAGTTAGGGACCTTAGATTGTACGCCCTTGAGGGTTAGGGACTGATGTGAATGTACAATATATATGTAAAATGATGGTGCAATATAAGTACCTGTAATAAATTAAAATACGGTAGCAACAACCCCCCCCCCCCCCCCCCTCCAATCACACACTATTATTGCTATTCATGTATATAGATCTGACCTATACCGCAGTGCTGTACAGAGAACACTGAGCCAGTCACATCAATTCATCAATCTCTGCACCAGATGAGCTTACACTCTACTTTCCTCTACAGTCACACACTATTAATCATTTTATATAGCTCTGACATATACCCCAGTGTTGTACAGAGAACGTCAAACATTGTGGTGTAGCACGTGTAAAGGAAGAAGTGATGCATGCTGGGAATATTTGCCTATGCTGTCGACATGTAACTTAATTGCGGAACATGATGTTTGAGAAAGAAATCAGTCAGGGGTGAACATGCACTCTCTCTCGGATGTTTTACAGAACGTTCTGGCCTCTCCAGTTGGCGGTGGTCTGGTAGGTTCGGACTGGGAATGGACTTTGCCTGCTTCTATGAGCCAAGACATTTTAATGGGGTGTAGGTTAATCTGAGACTTAAACTAAATGTAAAATTTAATGAACAGTTTTGTTTCATCTCGGTGCTGCTGATCTCCTGCAGCCTTGTTGCAGCCACTTTGTGTCTACATGCACTGTCTCCAGTGATGGCATTTCTCAAGGTGGGCTTCCTGATGAAAACACTGGACCATGCCTTGCATCATGTGTGTTAACGTGGTCACTAGTAGTTCCCACAGGAAGCCCGTGTGACAGGGTGCCAATGCAGACTTGCAGACAACTGGGAGACAAGGACAAAGCGTTATCCCCCCCTATGACAGGAAGTGTCTCTGAACAAGAACCTCCATGGCGGGATCACCAGGGAATATTTTAATGAAGTTTGGGGATCATAAAGATTGAAAATGACTTTTGAAATGATTGTGTTAGATGTTATGAGATTTCTGTGATTGGCGTTAGATATATGATCCAAAATAATCAGTGTGGGGTAATTTTGTTGTCCGTCTTCATTGTTCCTGTTTCAGTTTATGAGAAAAGGGAACAAGCACATTTACCAAGCAAAGCCTTCCTGGGTGTATTGACATGGTGGAATGCAGACAGCTCAAGGTGCCTTTTTGTTACCGTTATTGGCCTGACAAACTTTCCCTTTGTACGTCTTTGAAACTGATGTCACTTTATTACTAGGGGCCTGAAATCAGGAGTGAGTGTTACTAACCACTATTCCCCTGTCCAACCAGAAGGCTCTACCTGGCCATTTTTTAGCTTCATTAAGGATAATATTGTTCTGAAAAAAGGATAGATCTTTTATGTTCAATCCCTAGGTGGGTCTCCACTTGTCCAAATGTCCTTTATTGACCAAACCCTGACCTTCTCTAACCCTTTTTGTCCTTGTAGGAGATGGAGGCGTTGGGTCACGTTCTTACTGTTGCTCAGACCATCTATAACCACTGTGACCAGGCCAGCTCCAACAAGAAGCAATGTCGTCGCCTAGAGAAGAGGATCAAAATGTTGCTTCTGACCGCAAAGACTCTGGAGGATCAGCAGGATAAGTCAACGGCTCTGCTGGCAGTGGTGAAGGAGCTGGCCACCACGCTGGAGAACGCCAAGTGTTGGGTCATTAAATATTCTCACCATGCCTGGTGGAGACAGGTACTCAAGGCCAACGGCATTAAGGAAGAGTTTGAACTGATCAACGACCGCCTGGGGGATGCTGCCACGCAGATCTCTGTCCTGCTGGCTGCCGAACACAGGTCTAAATTTTCTCGGTTCTTCACGGAGAAAACCAGGAAGGAGCAGAATGAAAAGGATATAGAGGAAGACCTGAATGAGCTCCGCGCTTACCTCAACAGTGAGTTCTTAGCCCTCACTACAGCCAATGTAAACCATTTTTTTTTGCTATGCTGTATTATATTGCTGCTTTTTGAACCAGCACAGGGTCACAATATAATAAATAAAATGAGAACTGTATTGATGATCCACCTAATGTATGTAAGGTTCTCTGCAGATCTTTCATGTTCCACACAAGTGTAGGTAGGTCTGGATCATATTTTTATAAATCTTCTGAAAATCGCAGAAAAGGTCTGTCATGATTCATTCAAGATATGTAGCATGTCTTAACCGTACAGTGTCAAAGGAAGGCCAAATGTTTAATTTGTATACCGACACAGCAGGAATCCTAAAGCAATTCTAAAGGTTGATGTTTTTTTTTTTTTTTTTTTTAAATAACAAATGTTATACTTGCTGTGTGCAGTGATTTTGCACAGAGCAGCCTGGATTCTCCACCTTCTCAGGTCCCTTGCTGGCACTCCTGGCTCCTCCTTTGTTGGGTGCCCCCACAGCAAGCACCTTGCTATGGAGCGCAGCGGAGCAGGCGTGTTCCCAAGCCGCTGCTCCATGTGTCCATTCACACACGGAGCCACGGCTTGGACCCGTCCCCTTATTGGCTAACTGGCTGTGATTGACAGCAACAAGAGCCAATGGCTCCCACTTGCTGTCTCTGCCAATGAAGAGGCAGAGACTCAGAACAGCAGAGGCTGTTGTACACATCGCTGGATCATGATGGGTCTCGGGTAAGTATTGAGGTGGCTTGGGACACTGCTGCACATAGAAGGATTTTTACCTTTGTGTATTGAGGTGATTGTAGCCGTATTAGTGCATTTGCGACAGAAACAATTGAATACTGTCCGTGATACTTTTTTTATTTGCACTAACATACAATTTTGAGGACAAGCTTTCGGGGTATGTCCCCTTCTTCAAAGTCCAAACAGTACTCAACAAACAGTACCTTTGTGTATAGAATGCATGAAAGTAAAAAACCTTGAGCCTTTACAACCACTTAAGTGTGTGTTCCTTGCACACCAGTCTGTGTTTGCGTCCCTATTAGTACAGTGTGTATGTGCCATAAATTACCTTTTTGTCTTCCAATCAGAATCAAATTCAAGTCTCCCTGATGTATATAGACTCCCCTACAAATGGAGTTCAGTTGAAGGGTCCAGGTAATTCTATGTCATACAAAGACATTGTAGACAATTGTGCTCTTCCTACCTTGTGGTAACAGTTTGGCGAAGACCCTTTATTTTTTTATTTATTTTTTTTTTTTTTTTCCCACCAGGACTCTGCCCCCTGTGTATAAAACCAGCTCCATAAAGACATGGCTTGACCAGTTTGGTGCAGAGGAACTCAAGTGTCCTATGCAGAGCCCTGACCTCCACCCTACTGTACACATTTGGGATGAGTTGGACATGGTGAGCCTGGTCTCCTCATCCAATATCAGTACCTGTCCTCCCAAAATGGGCACAAATTTCCAGACAGTTTCCAAAATCTTGTGGAAAGACTTCATAAAAGAGTGGAGGATGTTACAGCCACAAAGGGACAACTCTATATTAATGGCCATGGGGAAAGAGAAGGGGCAGCTCTATATTAATGGCCATTGTTTTCAGATAAAATGTCCACAAAGCTCAAATAGGTGTTCAGACATTTGGCCATATAGCGTGCTTTCCATGACTCATCCCCTGCCAGTTATTGGTGGAGTTTAGTGGCTGAACTGACAATTCCAGTGACAAGAGCAGGAGCTCCATTGTATTCTCTATATGGACTTACAGCTGTGATTTCGCCCACTTGAAAATGTAAGAACACTGTGTCTATTTCTGTTTGATGCAGGTCATGTGCCCAAAATCGCAGACAAGATGGACAACGTGAAGGATGAAATGAGCATACTGAGTGCTAAACTGGCTGAAATTAATTTAGCATGTAAGTACACAGAACACCATCACCGTGGCACACAGACAGGGGTATGGTCAGTGGTCTAGAAATTCCTGATGTGGCAGAGGCAATGGCATTCATATCTACTAAAAAAAAAATGCTCATTGCCTCCATCTTGAATTTTCACACGAGGGGCAGCATAGGCCAAATTCCCAATCTTTTGATAGCAAGCTATACTATACCCTCTAACAGAAATTCAAGACCTGCATAAAAAATTAAACGTGGATGTTCACCTAATACAGGCAAGGTGTACCAAATACCCACAATGTACTGCTGTGGCATGATTGGCATGTGATTTGTAAATCAAGTTGGATCTTCTTGATCACTAAAAGTAACAGCTCTCAGATAAATAGGATACCGCAAATTCAGCATTCATCAAAAGTGCAATATGGTGAAGCTATACTCTCCACATATTTACAGGCTCCTATTAGCCTCTTTGTTGTGAACTGAGTGACTCCTCTCAGTGACTGTGCCCTTACTGGGCAGAACAACCTGAGGCTTCAGTCAAAGGGAGCTACAAGGCAGGCTACTTGCACTGCGCTGTCTCTTTGGCCTTATTCACACCATACATCTACAGTCGTGTGCAGCAAAATGAACAGGGTGCGACAAGCCTTTTAGGTAGCTCATAGTGCTCTGGGAAAGTGTAATTGACCGCTTTCTATCTCTAGGTATCCGGCCAAAATGGAACATCACAGAGATCAGGACAACAGATCTGAAGCAAGGAGACCTATTGCTGGAGAGACCCACACATTACCTCTACCGAGGAGAGCTCCACCGCAGTCCTGTGGCCATCAAAGTGTTCAAGGATAAGAATGTGCAGAGTGAAGCGTGAGTTCTGGGGACACACAGACCAGTCCCTCTTCTGTCTCGTGAGAGGTAGACTGGTCCTCTTCTAGTGCATGGTAGGGAAGGCAGAAGGTGACATTATCTGTTTTTTACAGATTCATTCGGAGGACATTTCTGTCTGAGAGCGAAACGATGAAGAAATTTGAGTGTTTGAATATTTTACGACTCTATGGTATCTGTATCAACAATTCAGGTGAAGACAGCAACATCAATTCTTTCTATGTCCCTGAGCTCTGTTCTGTCCTGTTTCTCATCCAGACTCTCTGCAGCTCAGTTCTGGTCTCCCATATCTGCTTTCATTCTTTTCTTCAGGTCTTTGTCCTGGTCTCCTGTCTCTGTTCCCATCTTCTTTCTCTCTCTCTCCCCTCATCTCTGCAGCTGTTTCATGGTCTTCTGTCCCTGTCCTCAACCTCCATTCTTTATTCTCCTCTCTCCTGGTCTCTTTTCTCTGTTCCCATCCTCTCTTCTCTGATTCAGGCCCAGAAACTATCTACTCTCTTGTGATGGAGTTATGCGAAAAAGGGACACTACGGGAACTGCTACAGACTGAACTGGACTTGAGTTGGGATCGGAGAGTTCTTATGGCTCTAGATGCAGCCAGAGCGCTGTACAGGTCAGACATCTCCATTTTATCCCATAACTGGAAGCATTGATTTACCTGACTAAGCTGGTTTAGCTTGGAGATGGTCTGCTGGCGATAAGTGACTACATTTATTAGGTGTTAGAAATTGGCAATGTTGGATTTGTTTTTGGAAAATCTTGTAGTAAAATAATGACTCGTAATTCAGGGAATGCGAACATTGCTTATTTTTCATCATAACCCGCCATTACTAAATGAGGCCCAAAACTTCTTATTACAGGTTACATCAGACTGAAGAAAAAGCCATCCTCCATGGGAATCTGAACAGCTCCAAATATTTGGTGGATGGGACATTCTGTGTGAAGGTACCAAATATATGCCCAACAACACAAACCCCAATGACATGACCAGTATAACGAAGACTGTTCAGGAGTCTCAGGCTTTTTGGAAGTCGCATGGTCTGTAGCTGGAACATTGCTGTTTTCTCTGTGGTTGTAGTCTGCAGAGATGGTTTTTTCATTGGCCATGTTTGCTGTAGTAGGGTTTATGGGTGTCGGGGGAGGTCAATGCTGTCTGTTCATGTACACAAGGTATAGAATGTGTATAACGTAGACATGGTATTTGGGATCAAGGCTTGCAGACAACAAGGGTTCAAGTCAGTGACCGCAAAGCATGTGGGCGAGCTCCACCCTTGACGGTGTGGGCGAGCTCCACCCTTGACAGTGGACAATGTGACCTAATGCTGCTTAAAGTGACTCTGCACAAAGCCCACACTTCTAAAAATTTTCCCAATCTTATATGCAACGTCATTGATGTCCCCAGCTGTCGGGATTTGAGCTCTCCAAGACAGAATCCTCCATCCAGAGACCCTCCAACGTGGTGACAAGAAAGGAGAGAGAGCTGGAGTACATGGAGTACATTGCCCCTGAGACATGGCAGGATATTAACGCATATGACAAACGCAGCGAGATTTACAGGTGAGGTGCTACAATTTTTATCAGCAGGGATAGTCTGCTGTAGGACTGGATCATATAATCCATAACAAGCCACCCTTCGTAAATTCTGCTTACATACGCTGTTGTCGGCACGTATGCATTCACAATCATGGCAGGTACATCGTAAATTCCATGACTGTATGATTTCCTTTTCACACACAATCCATAAACCAACATGGCTTTTTTTTTTTTTTTTTTTTTTTTTTTTTAGTAAATCTGGCCCAATGTTTAGGAAAGGTGGGATCCCATCCCAATATCCACTCCGGTCAAAGGCATCTATGGAGCCATCAACCTCTACATGTCAGTCTGTACTAATGTCAGTAACTGGATTAAAACTGAACTCTGAGAACAGGGCTAAATACAAATAAAATGGTATATACATGAAAGCTGTTTTACCTGCCACAGGATTTGCCTTTTGTCTATCCAGTCCTGAGATTTGCACAGTTCTGCCTGGCAGGATGAGAGATGTTTCAGCTACAGTTGCATACCACTTATAGGTCTTGTCTATGTGTTTGGACAGTGAAGGAGAAGCAGCCGATCAGTGAGCATTTCTCTCACTCTGCTCTCTCCTGATATCTGCATGTTCCATTCACTGCAACACACTTAACTGGCTCCCTGTGATTCTTTCCCCTCTGTTAGCCTGAACTATGATGTATAGGGACTTCAAAGGGCTGATACCAGGTCACATTTAGGCACTTAACCTCCTTTCACACTCCTGCAACCTCACAACCTCATTGTCCTGCACATTGATTGTGCCAGCCGCCATTAAAATGTGTTGTCACTTGTCATGTGACTTTGTGTTGCAGGACAAGTCGCAGCAGTGCAAACCAGGGCTTACACTACTTGTATTAAAAAAAAAAAAACCCTATTACTGAATGCAATGTAAATCCACTGGAGGGCAAATGGTTAATACATCACAATCCAGTAAATTTCCTGGTGATGAAATGTAGAAGTGTTTATTGTGAAGACTCCGGTCCCCCTTCCTGTCCTCCTGGTGAACAAACAACTTTGGTCACTGAACAACTTCCCAAAATTTTGACTTTCGATGAGGAAACCTCAGTTTGTGAAACTTTGTCTGCTGAGGAAGCCAAGCAGTAACTGTCTGAATGCTACATAGATACCCACCCTGAGCAGGTGTTCTGTTGTCATGGGAACAGGAATTGCTCAAATGCTACATGGTAACAATCCCAGCTGAGGGTTCTGTCGTCATGGAAGCAGGAACTGCTGAAACGCTACGTAGTAACCCGCCCAGAGCAGGTGTTGTCATGGAAGCAGGAACAGCTGAAACGCTACGTAGTAACCCGCCCAGAGCAGGTATTGTCATGGAAGCAGCAACGGCTGAAACACTACGTAGTAACCCACCCAGAGCAGGTGTCGTCATGGAAGCAAAAACTGCTGAAACGCTACGTAGTAACCCGCCCAGAGCAGGTGTCATCATGGAAGCAGGAACTGCTGAAACGCTATGTAGTAACCTGCCCAGAGCAGGTGTTGTCATGGAAGCAGCAACGGCTGAAACACTACGTAGTAACCCACCCAGAGCAGGTGTCGTCATGGAAGCAGAAACCGGCTGAAACGCTACTTAGTAACCCGCCCAGAGGAGGTGTTGTCATGGAAGCAGGAACGGCTGAAATGCTCCATAGTAACCCGCCCAGAGCAGGTGTTGTCATGGAAGCAATAATTGCTGAAACGCTATGTAGTAACCTGCCAAGAGCAGGTGTCGTCATGGAAGCAGGAACTGCTGAAACGCTACGTAGTAACCCGCCCAGAGCAGGTCTTGTCATGGAAATGGTTTTGGCGTTCTGTCTGTACTTACACCAAATGTCATGACCATTCACTCCAAATTGGGAAAAGTACAGGAAGTGTGACCCATCCCTGCAGGCATCTTCCTAGATGGGTGTGAAGTTGGTTCGAGTAGTTATAGTTTTGGTTTTGCTAGGTGAAAGCATAGTGGGCTCACTGTACTAGGTGAGCTGTGATCATGTATTTAGGTCTGCTCTGCTGCTGGCAGGCCAGTATAGCTCCCTCTGCATTCAGAAGGCTGGAGAAGTTTCTGGATGGAATGTGTGGAGCTAAGCCAGCATCAGTATTCATGCAGCCCCAGCCAATCCCAGGGAGCTGAGGCATGCTGGGCAACTGAATATATTGAGAGGGCACACGGGGCTCTGGGTCTTTCCTGCCCAGGATTGTTCCAGCTTGGAAGAGGGCACGTTGCCCTCCCATGCGTCTGCTGCCTTGGGCCTCAGGTGGGTGACCTGAAGGCTTGAATGCTGCAACCCAGGTGCTACAGAGGGGGATGTCTACTGGAGATCTGGTCTGGTATCATGGAGGCCTTGTTAGTACAGACATCCGAAGTATCCTAGAAACTGTGTGTGCTGTTTAGACCCCCCCTTCAGGTGCTAGGGAGTCAGCTGGGGGTCTATGCAAAAAGGGGTCACTGACTGGTGTGCTGAAGTCATTGTCCATTTAACCCCCTCACTGCCAAGAACTTTGCTCAAGTTTTCTTCCACCACCATGAAGATTAGATAAGGTCCTCCAGTGTGCATAGTTCCTAAATTCTGGAGTATCCTACTCGTCTCCCAAATCCCTATCCATGTTCCTCAATAAATAAACCCCACAAAAATGACCCCCTATATTGGACATTAAAGGGAACAAGCATGTGCTGTGTGCCTGGCTGCCGGGCGAAGATAGTTGGGAGACCTGGACAATATTCCAGTGGCTGCTATGGGAGTAGCACTACATCACTGTGGTTTCCGAGTAAGAAGGCATTAAGTGAAATTTAGAGCCAGTAAACCATTCACTTTGTGTGTTTTTCTAATCTGATGATTCTTATTTAGTGGTAAAATGCTCTCTGTAAATTTTTCAGGCTGGTATATGGACTCCAGTCAACCTCCAACAACCTTCCTCCCCATTGCAATTGGAAAAATTTGATTCAGACTCTTAAAATTCCAGTCAATGTTTCAACTTTGAATTCAATCCTCATCACTAGTGATAAGGATGAGAATTTTACAGGGAGAAGAACTTCCAAACGCAGGTTCTCTAAATCTAGTACAGGAAATGATTGGAACGTCTAATTAGGAGTATCCTTTGTGTCAGAGATCTGTATGATGATGGCCATGATATTCCTCATTGTCGTGATAAATAATTGTCCTTCTCTTCCAGCCTGGGTGTGGTGATGTATGAAATCGCTACAGGAAAGCCGCCCTTTCACAGTGAGTATATGACCAGACTTTCCTGTTATAGCACAGTATATGAAACTGAGCTGACCTAATGCAGAACTATGCAAAGGGTTCAGGTAGCTGTGAAAAAAATGCTGCACAGCCAGAATTCTATAAAGAAATTCTATGAACAGTTTTTAGTGATCAAGAGGCTTCTTAGGAAATGCAGTATAGGGGAGGGGTGGTGTGACATAAATTAAATCCATATTTGGCATGACCACCCTTTGCATTTTTAAAGTAGATATACCCTAACTAAATGACATTAGTTTTGCTCTGTGTAGTATATAAGGTTGCCCTCTTTTCACTGAAATGGTCATATTTTGGTTACTTTCCTTCCCCTCCCCTTTTTTTTTTTCCCATTTCAGTCCTGCCGATCTGCAGCCTCTTCCCATTTTCATGCACTCTAGTGATGGCTGCAAGGCATTTCTAAGGGCTGGTTTGCCAATGGTGCCAAAAGTGGACTACATCTGTGTAATGTGAATTGCCAACCACTTTGTAGTCTCCATCAAGGACCTTCATGGCAGGATCACCAGAATTTGTTTTATTGAAAGATGTAGATTTCAAAAATTGAAAATTTTCTATAGAAATCATATTATGAGATTTCATTGATTTTGGTTTATGTTCACTTTCACAGAAAAGTGATTTTCATGAGTACACATCCAGTGCTCATGGTCTCAGGTCTTCATGTGGTAGGACTTTTCAGTGTTCTG